AAAAAAAAAAAAAAAAAAAAAAAAAAAAAAAAAAAAAAAAAAAAAAAAAAAAAAAAAAAAAAAAAAAAAAACAAATTCAAACTCTGAATATATATATTTTTTATTAAATATTAATCTGAGCAAAAGAAATCTTTATACAATCTATGAATAACTATTGACAAAAAAGTCTTTTGTTAATTAAAATACAAAGGTCGTTTGCGCATTTTGTTTAATGCATTTTCAAATAATTCACGACGAATAAATGAATAATCTTTTTTAGCAAATTTTTCAATCTGAAAATCTGAATCCATAATGACAATTGTCGGGGTCGTAGGCGTTTTTACTTTTGGAGAATTTGCCAACGTAGGATTCATAATTATGTCATGATTTTTTTTGTATAGTTAGTATGTTTGGTGTGGGTGGAGATAAAAGACCATTCAGAGTTGTAGGGGTATTTGGTGGAACTACTGGAGTTGATGGTGTATTTGGTGGTGCAAGCAGCTTATTCGGTGTATTTGGTGTGTTCGGTGTTTTTGGAGTGTTTAATGTGCTTGACGTGTTTGGCGTTCTTGGTGTGTTTGGTGTACTTGGTGTGTTTGGTGTACTTGGTACAGTTAATTTTTGTTCAATAAATCCAGTTTCATTAACAGACTTTGGATGTTCGTCCAAAGAACTGCGTCGTAAATCACGTGCAGAACTCGCCGTCGATGTATACATTATCTGTTTAAATTTTGCGCTTTTAGGAGTATAAGGAAGTGTGCAAGGAATAGGATCTGTTGGTGTATTTGATGAGGGATAGAAATACGCCGACCCTAATGGGGTAGGTGGTTCCGCATAATCTAAAGACGCAGTCAAAGGCGTGCTAGGAACAGAAAATGTGACATGACGTGAAGTAGTTGGAGTAATTGCAGTGGAATTTATCCAATCCAAAATATTTGCTCGTTTAGTTGGAGATTCATTGCCCTTGTCATCATCAAGTGACAATTCCTCCCACTCTTCACTTTCGCTCATATCCTCTAATTGTTTTAATTGTTTTCCTCTAAAGAAAGAAACCAAAATTTCTTTTGCAGCATTTTCATTAACGGATTCAGCTAATCTTTTTATGAATTTTCCGGGGATTACACCCTCAACAAACATAACGTTAGATAATATACCAACTTGCCTTTCTTTTACTGATAATCCAAAATAGTAATATACCAATATTTGATCCACAGCACCACGAAATGGTTCATAAAGATCCAATAAAGTTGTAAAGTTTAGCAAAGAAAAGAAATCTTGATAAGTACTAATATTCGAAGCCAGCGAAGAAGTTAGAACATCTTTTATGTCAGCAGAGGTATATAACCAGTCCAAAGTTGCATTAACAATCCCTAAACCACCATGTACTGGAGCTTCTATACAAAGCATTGGTAAACCATTAGCTTCTTCGACAGTATTAGAATTCAAAGAAGTTTTCGAGGCCAATTGAGAAAATTGGGTGGATAATTTATCAAAAAGAGCAGATTTTTGCATAAGATATTTGGATTGTTGAACGGTAATTTCATAAACACCTTTTAAATGAGGTTTATCCGATGTTAATATTTGCAACTTAAAAAGAACTGTGGAAGGCAAGATTAATGATGGTGATAAAATAAATGTCGTTTTTGACACGACTTCCAAAGGAAGAGCCTTGACATTAAGTGATGTAGTTTTGGCAGGCATTATTATTATATTATTATCGTTATCGTTATTATTATTATTATTATTATTATTATTATTTTATTATTTATTTGCAAAAGAAGAAAAAAAAAATAACAAAGAGAGCAAAACAAAAGATCAACTTTTGTATAGAACGAAAGGATTTTACAAAAAGCAAGTTACAAGTGAGCAAGTTTTGGATATTGGTGTTTGATTAGTTTTAGGGTATTTATGTTATTTTCCCTTTCCTTGTACTAGGGTATATAATTCAAATCATATGCAGAATTGTATAAATAAGAAGTGATCAAAAATAAATAAACCTAAAAAACGAGCCAATAATCTTTCCAATTATTATTGATTTCAATGTTCATTCTTCATGATTAGAACAATTCTTTCCTTGTTATGCATGTTATTTTTGGAATTGCTAATTAATCAATTTTCTTTTTAAGGGTAATTAGTATGTATTACGATCGGTCATTGTGTAACATTATGTGCCGTATTAGGATTCGCACGAGTTACATTGTAAGTATCGCAAATTAGAAACTGTGCGAGTACGTACGTCGTAAAATACTCATTTTAACTATACTTACTATTCTTAGACATTAAGTAATTATTTGAACTGAAATTTAAAGTACACGCACATGTATAATTTACATAGTCAAACAGATCATGTATCCCTGATTGTTAATTAATGTTCCAAGATTTTATACGTAGTGTGAATTACCGTAAAACAAATGAACCTGTACATTATTATTAGTCTTTTACTAGTTTAATGATGGTTTTTCGTTGAGTTAATATATATATATTTTTGTTCTTCAAATATTGTATTTCATAGAGATAGGTTAGTGTTACTATTTGCTATGAATTAAGGTTAATACTGTATAACTGATAAGGTTTCATATATCTATTATTACAAACTTTTAAATTTTGTAGTATAACAAATCAATGCAGAAACATAATTGATCAGCATCTGGCGTAAAATGTTTATTTTTTTCTCATTTAAAATCTTATATAATGTATAATATGTAACACGTTTCATAACTTAACAAAGAAAAAGCAGAATATGTTTTTAATCTTTTTTATGTTTGACTAAATGATAATAGGCAGTTGCTAATTGTAATTCAATTATTGTATATATTAATTTATTAAATTAGAGGCCTATCGCAATTCAGATTTGAAAAATAAACAGGATTTTACATTACGGGCCGTGTTAGCCGATAAAACTTAATGCTTTCTAAATTTTATATTAGTTTTTCACAAGTTTTATTAGGAACGATAGTAGTAGTAATACAAATCTGTAATCATATCATAATTTCTGACAAATTCAACAATAAACTTATAGTGTTGGGCTGAAAATTCGCACTGCGTAGAAATTAGGGAGCATCGGACAGAAGTTAAGCCGATGTATTTCATACATTTTTACTTTAAGTTCCATTATTATTTTGTATCAATTGTTATAAAAAGACAACCCACTATTATGAAAAGAGGTTTAATACATAAATTATTCTATATAACTATTCCGTGACTTTTTAAAATGTTATAGTCTTAAGAATTAAACAAGAATTTGCATTATTCTTATTATTCTTGTGTCATTAATATATTTCTAAAAATTTCCAGGTCAAAATTATCAAGGATCATTTTTCCTTAGTGAGTAAGTGGTCTATAATTTTATTAGCGTTAGTAAAATTTAGAGAGATTTTAGGTAAGAATTTCTGGCCCAAACCGACCAGAATTCCGATATCTTCCGATCTGTAAATTTGGACTCTCTTTACGAGTTCTGATCAAATAGTGTTAGATCCGAAAATCTTATAAAATTTTTTAAACTTATTTGTATGATATTTTTTAGTGTTAGATTAGAATTTAGAGTTGTTAGCACTTGTAATTTCTAATAGATCATATGTATAACTGTAAAATTTCATATACTATATATATCTTGTCACATGAGAAAATTGGGTTCCGAGCCTTCTTTCCGGAGCCCATATGACTAAGCCGCAGTCCAATTTTACGGTGCCACCGGGGAATTACGGCGAGTCAGTCGCTTGACTATCAAAAACCTTGCGTAACCTACGAATGGCTTAGTCGAAAGAGGACGTTTAGATTTGGTCGGTGGGTTATATTTGTAGGTGAGTACTCTATGGTTTTCTTGGTGATTATGCCTTGGGATGTTCTTTCACTAATACTAATCTTTTATTTATTCTAAAGGGAACCTCGTGGAGACTTTATTTTTAGAGATTTGGGCAACTAGGATACAACTGTACGTCGTGTATCCTAAATTCAAGACCACAATTACCATAATTCGTCGGGTAATTGGACAGACAATGTAACCACAACTAACCACAATCCGTCGGGTTAGCTGGACAATAATACCACAGTTAGTCTTGGTGCGTTAAGACTTAACCGGAAAAGTTATGAGGTAGGTATCACGTGGACAAGTTAACGAGGATCTTACTGCTAGTTACGTTAAACAGTAGATCGGGGTTTAAGGATTAGTTTAGCGAAAGGGGGTTATTCGGGATTTATAATGTATTATTTATTCAATAAAGAACTCAATTTTATTAATGCAAAACTTAGGAGTTGTTCTCCTCGCTGGGCCTACACGGCCTTTATTTATAATATAAAATTTGAATGCTATTTTATTACATAAATGTTATAAAAGTAATAAATCTAATTTATCACATAAATTCCGTAAGTTACATAAGTCACATAAATTACATAAATCACATAAATTCCATAAATGTAATAAATGCAATAAATGCAATTTATCTAACTTATGTAATTTATGTAACTTATGTGATAAATGTAATTTTGTGATTTTACCCCCCGTGACCTTGGGTCACGTTATACTGTTCCGGACCCAACCTGATCATTTTTCGGGTCTCACAACGGCTAAGTCGATCCTTGACTTTTATAGGGATCCCGTGCTTATAGGAGCGATCGATCTTATAGCTCTTATAAGACATATCGATATAAGATCGATAGGAGCTATAAGTCTTAAAAGTCTTAAAAGTATTATAAGTCTTAAAAGTATTAAAGAAACAATAATTCTTATATCTCTTTTAAGAGTTATAGGAGCTAAAAGACATATAAGACTTATACGATTCCTATTATTATAAAGTCTATATAAGTAGAGTTTTCTGTTTTAAATAAAAGATATCATTTAGTTAATAAAATATTTTGCCTTTAAGTAAATTATTAAAACTTTTCTTTAATCTATAAATTCATTTATAATTCTAATTACATTTCACTAATCATATAAACTTGTATCTGTATAACATGATGTTACCTGATTTACTCTTCAAATAAGATTAAAGTATTGTTAAGTTATTGAGTAAAAGAGAACTTGCTTGTTAAATCTTGTTTTTTGACTATTTTAAGAAAAATAATAGATCAATTTGAATAGATTAAAAGAAGTTAGAAACTCAAATAATATTAAGAAAACTAGCTATATAACCAGAATCTAAACAATAGCTGAAGCTTTAGAATTTTTTTCATTGATGGCTAACTAGATTGTGAGGATCTATCTCATAAAATATTCAGAAGAACTAAAGAACTAATCTGGTAGAGAGCTACAGCAGAAACTAGATTTGTATAAATATTGAATAAGAGTATATGCAAGCTAGATTAAGATATAGTATAGCATAGTTAAGTATTATAGTATCTATTTATTAGAGAGTATTGAAGTAGTACTTATCAGATAGGGCTTAAGCTCATAATAGTAAAGTTTGTAATATATGTCAGCTTGGATATCTTCTAAAGTAGAGTAGCATAGAGTTAAGGTTAACTTAATAGTATAATAAATTTGGAAGTAACATTGTACTAGAAAGTTTAAATAGGTAATCTTCTAATAGATTTTAGATATAGTAACTAGTGTAGAACCTTCAAATAAACTACTTAAATTAGATAATCTAAAATTGTATATGTAGCTAGTTGTACTCTTACAATATGTATCATATTTCTAATATAAAAGTTTGGTTAATACATTTGTATAAAATAAAAAAAAAAAATTTCATCAAATATAAGTTCTTATAGAATATTGTATAAAGAAGGTTTAGTAATCTAGTATAGTAATTAGATTGTTAGACTACTATATAATAGATCTAGAGTTTAAATTCTAATATTAATAAATTTAAATAATTTTTTAGACTTTGTGATATATTATAGTAAACCCTGTTTGTTTTTAGAAATATACCTCTGTAAATTGAGTTATACTAAATTGATCTGAACTTAAAAGTATAATATAATATTATATAAATAAATCTTAATAGAATATATAAGTAGAAGATCTATATAGTATAAATTCTGAGTTAGTAAAGTAATATAGCTTTCTAACAAGACTATATTAGTTAAAGTTAATTTAAAAAAAAACTCAGTTTAATAAAGGTAAAAAGTTTTGAGATTTCTAAGTAAAAAGTAACTAAGACTAGCTAGATACTATAAAAGAATTAGATTAACTAACTAGTAGAAAACTACAGTAGAATCTGAGTTATATAAATATCTACAAGAGTCTAAACTAGATAAATCTGTAAAATAGGTACAGATTACTCTAGTAAGTTTGCTTCAAGATTAATTAGCTCTGCAATACTAATAATATATTAAGTATAATATATCTTAAGAGGATTTAAGCTATTCTAAATAAATAAATTTATAATGAGCTAGCTAGCTTAAACAGTTAGATATCATAATAATATTAGATTAAATCTATATAGATTAATGAACAAAGTATTTAAATAGATAACTTATATTGGACGAACTCTTTCCGCTGATCACCAAAACCAATACCGGAGCAAAAACTTTTTACAAAACAAGCACTAAACTCAAGGAAACC